TGGCACCCAGGGCTATGGATGGAAGAGGGAGCCCAAGGCCTGCCCAGAGCTTGGCTGAGGGTGTCTTCGGCCAGCCGTGGTGAGGGGTCAGAGGTCAGAATTGTAGTGGGGAGGAGAGCGTGGCTGGAGTCCCTCTGAGTGGCGTCAGCAAAGGAAGAACTGTCTCTCCCCTCCCCTCCCCTGCAGGGAGGTCTGAGCAGAGGGAGGCCCCCAAGGGTGCCACTGACCACGGACAGCAGACAGCAGGCCTCCGGGGGGTGCGGCCCTGCTCCAGCTGCTGCCTGTGTGCACACATGCCGAGTGCCGGGCCGGCCCCCTGCCGCCGCCGGGCCATTTGCACTTGGCCAGACTGGATGGAGATGGAGGAGGGTTCGGCAGAGGCCCAGGCTCAGGATGGCCCCCACAGTCCCCACCGTCACTAACCTGCGCCCCCCACCCCCCGCCTGCCCAGCAGGATTCCTCGTCCGCTGTTCCCTGGAGTCACCAGCTTCCACTGCGCTGGGCTCCAGGGCCACCCACCTCCACCCTCCTCTGGCCCCAGATGGGACAGTCGCTTGCCCTCGCCCCCAGGCCCGCTGGGCTCGCTGTAAAGTTGCATATTTATTGAGCTTTGATTCTTTTATAAAGACTTGTACATACGCCACTGGCAGGCCTCTGCTTTCGGAACCCACCCCTTTCAGGACTCGGGGACTGAGCTCTTGTCCCCCCATCCGTGGTGGGGCACTGGGGGAGAGACCGCGGGGGGCAGCAGTGAATTAGGGGGCAGAGGCCACCAGCCCAACACCCCAAAACCAACCCGTCCCCTACACAGCCATGAGGTCCACCATTAGAGCCCCTCGTGGTGCCTGCCTGGGCTGCCCCGTGAGCTTATGCCGGGGTGGGTGACCTGTCCTGGGCTCACCAGGAGTCTCTCTGGGGCTCCTCTCTAGAGGAGGGGCCCCTGCACCCACACCTTACAGCATCTGCAGGGGCTTGGCTCTGAAACCCCGTGGAGGAAGTTACTTCACCCCGGAGTGGTGGTCTCAGGGCTGAGGCTGGAAGCCAGGCTGGGCACCAGGGCAGCCCTGTGCTCTGTGCACCTTGCTGCCCGCCCCCTGCCACCCCCGTGAGGCCCCCCCAGGTCAGGGCTCCACTTCCAGGGCCCCTGGGTTGTTCCCCGACCCCCACCATGGAGGCAGGCAGGCTCACGGGTGGCAGGGGGCGGGCCCTGCAGCTGGGT